CCGTCATACAAGTTTATTTAACAGGATACATGACACAAATGCAGAGACGTAGTTATTGATCACAGCTGACATTCGCACATCGTTCATTTGTCCTCACAGCTCTCTAACTCTCAATGTGTAGTGACCTCTCCTGGACTACTGCAGATACTAGGATGACGGCGTCCCACTCTCTGGACGCGTCGAACAGCTGAACAGGACGACTTCTCCCATTCACTGGACCTTGATATTAATTCAGCATACAACACGGCTGACTGGAGACGGACTTCTCTTGACGTACTCCGAAACCAGGCACTACTGGTCTTCCCGTCCCCTGGACTTACTTTGCCAGCGGGACCATATTATCCATACCGCAATCCCGACACTTACTCAGACCTAAATGCCTGATAGTCGTACGGTATTCTAGTCGGTTAGCCTCCAATGACCGACAGGACTTCTACCATAAGTCCTCTCATACTTTTGACATGTACCGCAATCTCGACACTTACTCGGCCCTAAATGCCCGATAGTATGTTTGTCTGTTAGACTCGAGAGATTACCTGGACCCTGACTTGGTCTCTGACTCTCGTTTCTCTCGGCTGATCCCTCGTGCTGCGTGTGTGATACACCAACACTTCATCACCGCTTCTTGGCTGATCCCTCGTGCTGGGTGTATACTACACCCACACTTCATCAATGCCCTTAGCCCTGTGGCTACATCTCTCTCTCTCTCTCTGTCTACTGCCCCCGAGGGGCTTTAGCCCTCAGGCTACAGCTCACTCTCTGGACTGTCTACGCAGCCCAATTTATATATGTCGAATCCGTGTAGGTGGATGTTGATTACACGAGAGGCACGCTTGTGTGGGCGTTCTCGTGAATCATGATCCTGTGGGTGTTCTCGGGACTCGCTCATGTGAGCGTTCCCGAGGATCACGCTTATGTGGGTGGCTGATGTTACCCGAGAATCACGCTGTCACTTAATTCACACTTTATCTCGTTATCCACGCTTTCAGCCCACCACACAGAATCCTACGCGTCCACTTTCTCTCGTGCAAGCACACCTTGTTCATGAATAGACGTTTTCACTGGTCTCCTCTTAATACTCGGATCATATTGACACTCTTTCCTCATGAACTTACAGGAAGTACAGGCATACCATTGTCCCTTCCCACAATATCACACTTAACCCAAATCAGCACGCAACAGGGCTACAAAAGATGAAGTAGCTTGTAGCTTTCCCAAGCTCTCTGTCTTTTCATTTCTGGAGATCCATTGGAGGCTGGACTTAACAGCATTTTAATACCGTCAATTTTAGTGATTAATTTGGCCTGGAATACTGACATTAAGTATGCGAATATGACAGCTTATTATTTAGCCTAACTTGTGCATTTGGAGACCGTTCAGTTCAAAGGAGGACTGCTGCTTTTGCTCTGAAGTTGGTGCAAGCTTCCGATGCTGATATTGAGTGTGTCTCTGTCTCGCAATTAGTGTGTAATAAAGATTCGCTCATCTCCTTTTTGTGTTGCTTCTTTACCAAAACTGCCTCCCCCCCCCTCCTCTCTCCCCCCCTCTCTCTCTCTCTCTCTCTCTCTCTCTCTCTATCTATATATATATATATATATATATATATATATATATATATATATATATATATATATATATATATATATATATACATTCTACATTTGCCTAAACCTAGAATTTTTTAATTTTTTAAACAAGTTTAGCATATTCTGCTGCTCATTTATGAAACTATCTTCCACTTTATCTGAACAACTACAAAGAGTCCCTACTTATTTAACCGCAAAATTGTTATTTTCATGATTGCCAGTGATTATATGCCACCTTAAGTATGGTTAATAATCCATATTGCATTATCAACATATAGTTCAATAAAGTATGTATGACATGTATGTGCTAGCTGTACCCGGCCACGCGTTGCTGTGGCCCAGAATAGTGAAATTGAGAGGAAAGAAAATAGCTCTCAGCTTACAGTGTCTGTCATACACCCCCCCCCCCCCCCTTTCCTCTCTCCTCGACGCAGTCATATCTCCCTCTCCGAAGAATTGAAAAATCATCCATGGCGAAAGTATTAAAATAGAAATAGGTAAGAAATAAAAACTTTAATATAATCAATTAGGCTTTCTCAGCTAACTGTGTTTGGCATAGCCTCCCCCCCCCCCCCCCCCCCCTTTCTTCCACCAATCATAGTTCCCTCTCCGTAGTATTGAAAAATCATCACCTGGCGAAATTATTAAAATAGAAATAGTTAAGAAATGACAACATTAAAATAATATTTTAAGCTCTCTCAGCTAGCGGTGTCTGGCATAACGCCGCCCCCTCACCACCCGCTCCCCCAATCATATCTCCCTCTCCCAAAGATTGAAAAAAACATCACCTGGCGAAGTCATATCTCCCTCTCCGAAGGATTGAAAAATCATCCATGTTGAAATGATTAAAATAGAAATAGTTAAGAAGTGAGAACTTTAAAATAATATGTTGAACTCTCGCAGCTAACTGTGTCTAACCCAGACTTAAATAGGTAGCATTAACTATATTGTACAAAGAGCATTGCATCCGTGTACCCAGACTTAAATAGGTAGCATTAACTTGTACAGAGAAGTGAATGTAGCCAGTATAACAGCTACCACATCACCCATCCAGTACCAGTACTACTGCAACCACAACCACCACCACCATCACAACAACAACAACAACAAAAACTGTCACTACAGCTGTGTAGGTCG